ACTCTCTGTAGAGGACAGCAGAGGAGGTGGCAGGGAGAGATTAATTCCCTGAAATGGAAAAAAAATAGAAAAACACACACACACACCACACACCCTAATAACATGTAATAAGAGGTTGGAGACGAGGAACAATGCCCTGGTAATGTCACCCTGGCGGCAATCAATTTGGGTGTCACATGAAATAGGCATAATTATTCTGCCAGCACTGACGCTCGCCTCTAACCAGCTCCAGGGGCCCAGGCCTGGGCGGGAAGGCGAGTGAAATCAATTGCGGGTACACCAGGCTGGCAGGGAATTTACTCCAACTTAGCCTGTCAGCACCTGGCTTCTTAGCTCCTCTAGTGGGCCTTGTGGTTTAGGGACCCTTGGATACCCAGGAGCCATCTTGCTCAGTCACCCTTCATTCATTGTATGGTCAAGAGCGATCAGAGAGGGCTCCTCAGGAAGTTGTGAATATTGGAACACACATCTATTTCATCCAGAAGTTTGGCCACTACATTCTTGTTATCACTGGTGCCAGGCCTAATGTCAGTGCCAGGGGGCAGGAAGGGGATCTTCAGAGAGATGAGCACAGGCTCCCTGTACCCCCTGAGCCAGGACAGTCCTTTCCATCCTAAAGTGGACCCAGACACTGAGTCTCTCAGAATAGCTTTCCTTTTGTTCTTGCTGCACAGGGACATAAACTTTGCTCTGCCTTCATTTGGGGTCCCCTCCTACCACTCCTGACCATGCAAGCTCAGAACTTTTACAGACAATATCCTCATGCCAGAGGAAACTGACTTGCATGGGGGCGGGGGGGACACAACCATGGAGTGAGCATCCGACCCACATTGGATGCTGCCTGCCCCAACCCCCTTTCACACACTACAAACCTTGACTCCCAGAAACACAAATCACGGCTATAATGAAATCCCACTTTACACTCATTCAATCAAGAGAAAAAAAAATCAAGACAGCTGACAGACAGCGCGGAGTTGTCTGGGGATGGGGAGAGGTGGGAGCAGCCGCCACCCTGCGAGCAGGGCTTGAAGTGGTCCAACAAATTTGGAAAACACGTTGGCACAGTTCCCAGGAGAGCTGAACATGAACATGTCCTGTAGCCCAACAGTTCAGGGCACTTCCAACACTGCCTCGGGAGACGGGGAGAGGGGAGATTGTGGCAGCAGTATCAGTAAGAGCCAGAAAGAGTAACAACCCCAATGCCCATCAATAGGACGGCCAGGAATACACTGTGTTACACTCAAGTGACAACCAAATCCATCAGGGAAAAATGAATGGGTGCTGAATATCCACCATCATTTGCAGGAACATGCTAATGAGTGGAAAAGCCAGTTCCAGAGGACTGTGTTTGTTTATGTTTTATAGAGAGCTAAGAAATAACTAAAAATGCCAGAATTCTTCTATAGCGAAATAGATGATCTTATCTTGGTGCTGGTACTTGAACCCAGAGCATACTGCACACTAGGCAAGTGTCCTTCCAGTGAGTTACAGCCTCAGCCCCAAATGCAAGAGGCAAGAGAGATTTAGGTACATAATTGTCTCAGGGTGATAATTGTCTCAGGAAAAGGAGCAGAGGGTGAGGTGTGGAGAAGTACACCGAGAAGAGACATCTGAGCGGCTGAAGTTGGATCACAAGCTCACTATGTTATCACTAGCACTCCTACGATTTATTTTATTTATTATTTTTGTGTGTGTCTTGCTGTATAGCCTTGGCTAGTGTCAAACTTACTATGTAGACCAGGCTGGCCTTAAACACACAGAGATCCACCCGCCTCCACCTCCTGAGCTCTGGGGTGGTGGGCTGTGTGTCATCACGCCCTGGCAAGTACTACTTAATACAAGTGTATGGAACAACAAGTTAACAGGCTAGGCCTGGACCAGTGAGCACAGCTGCCACCCATGGTCAGGAGGAGAGCACTCTAGAATGAGCTCGTGCCTGCAAGATGGGGGCTTTTGACAGGTCCCATCACCCTTCTGGTTGTTTACTCGGCTATAAAACCACATCTCAGCACCACCTACAATGGAGAAAACCGGAAGCACATCACGGATATAAACTGCGAGTAGCTGGCGCCCATTATGCGCTCTGCACCGATAAGTGCATTCATTGCCTGTATCAGCACATTTAATTGCTACTACCTCCATTGAGGTAGACACCACAGTTAACTCCACTTTACTGGAAAGGACATGGAGGCCCAGAGAGATTAAGTAAGTTACCCAAAGTCACAGAACTAGGCGATGGTGGAGCTGAGGCTTGAACCAGGCCTCTGGCTCTCGGGTCCACTCTCACAGTGAGGTGACACTGGGGACGCTGTACACTCAGCAGAGCTGCTATTGGCTCACAGCACTCGAGGATAGGCACTTATCCATTCCTGCACACAGAGGTCTGAATCAAGAGGCCTCAAATGTGTTTGGAAATGACCCTGCCTTTTCGAAGCTTCCTTCAGAGAGCCTCCTCACTCTAGAAACCTCTGATTCCCATGTCACTGCAAAGCCTGATGCTACTCTGGGACACAACCGGCCATCTTCTCCTAAGAGCCCAACTCCACCGGCTCCACAGAGAAACTCCCGCTTCCGGAGCGTTCTGCGTCAGCCCTCTCCAGTCTACGTGGGACATTTTTAGTGCGTATCCAGCTCCATTCATGCAGCTAAGGACTCTATGTCCCCTCTAGAGTGTCGTTGCTAGGAGGTCCTAGGACCTCATGGTGTCTTTCCCATGTCCAGAGGGTTGCCTAGGTATTCGGAGTAACCCTAAGGTCTATCTAGCAGCCAAGCAGGCAGCTCACCAGGATGTTCCGAATAAACACATGAATGAATGGGCTGCTATGCCATCATCTGTAAATCCATTGTGGTTCCTTCGAGCTGCGGGTACTAAGAGCAGCGAGGGGAGGCTTTTGGAAGGAGAGGGCCTTTTAAGAAGGGGTGCTAGACCAAGTCAAGAGAGGATTCAGGCATCTGGGAAAGAGGCGGTAGGAACAGAGCAAGGTACAATCAGTAGTCTTGTCCTGGGAGGGGAACTTGGGGCTGGAATGTCACACACAGAAAAGCCGGACCAGGATTCTAGCCTACAGGGCTAGCCTTCTGCTTTTACAGGCACCTAACAGTGGCTCAGCTAAGCTATCAGAACATAGGTACTGCTCAACTTTTTTTTTGCTAAGCAACAGCTCATTCTGGGGAAGGGGGGCATTGGTCCTCTAGAATCCTGAGTTCAAAAAAAAAAAACCCAACAATTTTCTAGTGTAAGAAACGGATGTTTAGAGACAGATGGAAAAGATGACTCCTCAGGATCAAAGAGGATCGTGACAGGTAGACGTCTGTCTACATTCTTCTCAGCCTTGCAGGGTCCCTCCACTCACAAAGCATCGAACCTCAGCGTGCGGCACACACCCATCCCGGAAAAGCTGCTTCCCAACCCTCACTTGCTCCAGGTCTAGGGTGTATCACCGTCTTGATGGAGCCCTACCCAAGGCTGCCTCATACACACTTCAGCTACAGATGGGGGAAGGGGCATACAGCCAAGAGCTGCACCAGGTGTGGGGGTCCTGTCCTTCTTTGGCAGAGGCAGTTGGGTGTTGCCTTCGGGTCTTCTGAGACCATGTGCCTTTTCCCTGGCACCTTCAGCATGGCTTCGACGCTTTTTTTTTTTTGCCTCTCCTTTCTATCACCACCGTCTTGCCTCCCAGCAAACTAGGTGCCAGCACCCTCCCAGTGTCTGAGGACTCTGCACCTCTCTTGGCCCACACAAGGACAAAGGGCAGTGGAACACCCACCCCCTCATTAGCAGTCCTCAGTGGGGTCAGGGAAACCCCAGGCTCTCTGCCGGCTTGGTGCCCCCGAGCTCCCCTGGCACCGAGGCCCGTGCTAAAGTCGTTGGCATAATGGCCAGCAGGGCTGAGCCCAGAGCTGGGAACCAGGAGAGCTGGGCGCCCTCTGGCTGTCCAAGCCCAGCCAAGGACCGAGGAAAGGCTGGGCTGGCAGAAAGGGGCTGGCCCAGATGGTCCTGCCCCCACCGCAGGCCTCTTGCACTCCTACCCACCAGGGCAGAGCTGTTCCCATCTTCCATGTGCCCCAGTCGCCACTGCACCCACCCACCACAGGGCATTTGAGAACAAAGGGGAGGTGCCGCTACAACAAGAATTGGTCAGGGGCTGGTCAGGGACCCCAGCAATAAGAGACCCAGGGGACTGCCTACCTGCCTGGCCCCACCCCTCCTCAAAGTGGGACCCACCCAGAAAGAAACATCTGGGTCTCTTAGAGGGCAGGAAACCCAAAACCCACCCGAATAGGGTGTGTTTGGGGGACACACACGGGAAGCTCCTTCCTCATCTTCCTCTTCTCAGTAGGCTGCCTCTTCCCACCCATTTCCCTCCGAATGAAAAGTGGGGCAGGAGGAGGTGAGAAGCCCGGCTGAACCGAAGACAAAGGGGAGCCCCGAAGGTTCTTGGGTCTTCCTCAACTGGACTTCCCCCTCCCTTTTCTTCCGCCCTCCACCTCTCTTTCACCCAGGAGGAGCAAGAAAGGAACCAGAAAGAGGCTGACAAGGCTCCTGTGGAGAGAGGGGCAATCCTAGCTGGAGCTTAGGGAGAAACTGTTTGCTAGCTGTGTCCCCAAGCTTAAGGATATTAGCCAGGGCTGGGGGGTGGTCTCTGGTCCACCGAAAGAGACTCACTCAGGGCTTAGAGAACATATCCTCTTGGGTGACCATTGCCCAGAATGGAAGGATGATTTAGGGGGCACCAGGGCAGGAATGGAATGAAATGGTGGGGATATCTCCTTGATCACGGGTCCCAGCTTGCCAACCTGGGATCTGTTAGGACTAGCGGAACGGAAATGGGAAAATCATTTGAAACTTGAGGGTCAGGCCTGCGACCCCCAAAGGGGGTCTGGGTGGTACAAGGTGTCCTACATAGCCCCAGGAGGGTGAAACCTGGATCGACCGCAGCTCCCAGAGGCACTCGCCGCAGGGCTGCCGACTCGGGCTCGGCCAAGGCGGAGGGGCTCACCTGCATCTCGGGCGCGCTGTCCGTCCGCTCGGCTTGGTCACCAATCGCATGTCTCTCTTGCCGGCGCGGCCCCAGCCCCAGCCCAGCCCCCCTCCTCCGTCTCCTCCTACAACACCTCCGCCCGGTCCGCGCGCCCTCGCAGGGCTGGCTGTCCGTCTGTCTGTCCCACGCGGGCTGGAGCCCAGCCGGCCCTAGGGCAGGAGCTCGGGAGTCGGGGGCGGAGGCGGAGGCCGCGGCCGCTGTGGGCTGAGAAGCAGGAGCTCTCAGGATGCGTGTCGCGGGCTCCCGGAGCCTGGCTCTGTCCCTCGGGCCGGCCGGGAGCGGCCGCCACCGCCTCTACCGCTGGGGCCGGGGTCGAGGCCGGGCGTTCTCCGCAGCGGGGCCGGGGCCAGGGCTGGGGCCGGTGGGCAGCTGCCGCGCATGCTGCTCTGAGCCCCGCGTCGGGAGAGGGGCCCGAGCGGCGCGGGTGGGGACTCCGCGCGCTCCGGGACCCGGACGGGTCCAGGTCCGGCCGCCTCCTGAGCTGCCGCCCGCTCCGGCTCCCGCGCCGGCTCCCGCTCGGGCTCCGCGCTCTGCCGCGGCGTGGGGAGGGAGCGAGAGGAGCGAGCAGCGAGCCAGGGAGGGAGGAGGGACAGAGGGAAGGAGGGAGGGAGCTAGTGAGCGAGCTCTGGAGCCGGGCGGGGGAGGAGAGAGAAGGCGCGGCCGCAAAACCTGGGTGGGGGTCCTTCCTTCAGAGAGCCGGGCGAAGATCGAGGAGCGCCCCAGCAGCTGCCCAGCGCCCAGGGGGCAGCGAGAGTGGCAGCGGGGCGCAGACGAAGAACGCTCCCGGGCCGGCGCCCCCGCGCTCCCGCCCTGCACCACGCAGCGCCCCTCTGGGTCCCAGGCTCCAGCAAGTCTTAAGCCAGCCCAGCCCTCGGTCTTCCCAGAGAGCGTGCACCCATTCGCGTGTGATTGTCTCGGGCCACATGCGTGTGCATGTGAGCGCGTGTGTTCACACGTCTTTAACTGGGGTCACTGCACACTACCGTGTGGAGCGACACACGCACGTGGACCCCCAACCCCCAACCTGGTCACGGTTGTTTAGAGGACAGCTTGAGGAGGGTCAGGACTTGACCCCTTCTCTCGAAATGTCCAGGAACACCCCCCTTCGCCCCCCCCCTTCCTAGGGATCTTAGGGCGAGGCTGGCCGGGAAGCACAGGAAGGGGATGTGGAAGCCGAGCTGCCTAAGTGGGTCTACCCGGAGGCCAAGTCTAGAATCTGCTTTAGCATCCTAGTCCCCACCCCGTCGGGTTTCCTGTCCAGCAGAGGGCAGCAGGCCTATCTGGAAGGCTCCGGACGGTGGCACTCTAGCAAGTGACCAGCAGAGGACAGTACAGATCCTCAGTCTGGGCTTAGCTATTTACCATCTAACTCCCTAAAATAAATACCGAATTTGGTGGGTACCACATCTTCAGATGGCTCCAAAGAATAAGATCTTTACACAGAGACTCAGACTCTTCTTAGGCCACAGATCAGAGACTAGCCTGGCAGGGTGGTCTGGCAAGGGCTGCGGTGTAGGCAGGCAACCCATTGGGACCTCACATCCTTCTACAGTACCTCTTTCCATCTGTTTGAAGCCAGATGCCCCTTAAAAACATGCCAGCTTTATTAGAATAAATATCAATGAAGACACCACAAGGCAGAGTTCCCTTCTCCCCATTAGCACCTCAGCACTCCCGATAGTTTGTAGGCAGGCAAAGAAGGAAACTGAGCAGGGCGGGAAGAGATCAGCGCAAGGCCTGTGCCTTTCTGGGGTGGGCAAGGATCCCGTTCCCAGTGCCTCGTTTGCCTTCCATGGAGCTAGACTGACATTTCAGAGACACCTCCTGGCTGGCTTGGAGAGGCCAGCTTCAAGTCCCCACCCCCCAGCACTGTCTTGATTTCCACAGACCAGCCTCACACATAGTCCAAAGAGTTGCACAAACCTGTTCCAGCGAAACCGATCCTGGATATCTCTCAGCCTCACTGGTACACCACTGCTTGGGACATTTCCTGCCCTCTGTCTATGTCCATCCTTATCTCAGGCCTACCTAGAGCCCCTTCCCCGCAGGTGTCGGGACGCTCCTCGCATCTTACGTTCTTCTTCCAACAACCTCAGGAAGAGGAACTACTACTCCCCTAAAATAAAGAGCAGAAACCCCAGACTCAGAAAGGTTACGTGACTTGGCCACGGTCACACAGCTTGTAAACCGTGGAAAGGGAATTTGAATGGCTTTCCAGGGCTGAGTAAACCAGTGGGAGTCAGGCTTGGCAGAGGGACTTACTGGTAGGAGGGGAGGTGGGGCGGCTACACGAGTCCCCTCCCTTCCAGAGCCTAGCGCAGGCGGCTCATGGGTCCCCCGATTCCGTGATCCCTGCACCCCCTTCCCAGTCTCCCCAGCTCCCCCACCCCGGCTGTTTGTGAGTTACCGGTGAGCTCCCGCCCTCCCTCGCCGCCTCCTCCCACAGCCCCGACAGGAATAGACGCTCCCTAGCTCCTGCGTAAAGGCTCTGCCAGACCCGATGCGGGGCGGGGGCGGGGGCGGGGGCTATTCCTGGTGCGGCGACTGACGCAGGCAAGGCGCGGCCACCGCAGATCTCCGCCCCCGACTCACCTGCTCCCTGCCTCAGTGATCTGGTCGGAGAAATGGGGGAGAGTCTATCGCCCCCATCCTCAGTCTCCAGTTGCTAGATAAGGAAGCTGGTGGCCTAGGATGGGATCTTGACCCATCTTCTCTCGGCGTCCTGGGGCGATGGAGGTGACACCACAGTCACCTTATTCCTCCATTGTAAGGTAGCCCAAACATAGCTCTTTCTCTATGCCTCCTGAAGAAATGATCTCTCTCAGATTCTCCAACCTTCTCCACCAGACGGAGCAATGGGAAAAGAGGCTTGGGGAGGGTGAGGGCACTACGGCTCGAAGAAGCCTTTGTAGGGGCTCTGCTGGGGCCTGGTCCCCGACCCCAAAGGGAGGAGGCTAACACTGGGTCCTCTCCTTAGCCAGATGACTGGTGGGGTGGCCCTCAACAGTGCTCTCGCAGGTCCCAGGGCCATGTGAAGCATCAGGACGGTCCAGTTTGGGGACTTTGCTAGAAATAGAACTACAGCCAAGGGATGCTCACCGACACCTGCAGGCTTTTGTTGGTCTTACCTCCTAGGTGGTAAGTCTTTCTCCTGGTTTCCGTTGTGTTTCAAGAACAAATGAAGATCCATCTCGTCTATGCCTGCCTCCCTCTCTAGACTTAATGGCCTTAGGCAAGGTCTGCCCCACTGTTGCTCTCCTGCCTTCCACTAGGAGCTCCCAAGAGCAAACAGGCGCAAAGGAGACCCGGGTCTCCACGGACAACTAGGAAAGTCCTAACAAAGTAGGAGCCAATGGCTTCAAGCAACCAGTCTTCTGTAGCCTGAATTCGGCCGCAGAGCAGGGGCTGGAGTAGGTTTTCCAGGGCAGGTGGACGACAGGACTACCTTCTAAAACACATCAACCAATCTGCAAGGGTTCTAAGCTCCGTTTTTCCTTTTTCTCATCTCATGAATGGCGTGGCCACCAGCTGTGGCGGCTCACATCTGTGATCCCAGCATCCGGGAAACTGAGGCAGTGGGGTTTGGGGGTGGGGCTGCCGCAAGTTCCCAAGACAGCTGCCTCAAAAATGAAACAAAATAAATGCAACAAAGAAGGACTGAGCTTGTCGATTCTATCAAAGGAGAGAGTGGAAGCTTGGATGGATTGCTACCTTGTCCACGTTATCCTGCTTGAGAGAGGCCAGGCTGGGCTTCGGTTGTGTGTATTCACTGTGCACGCCCCAGCTATCTTTTCTCTCTCGCCCTTGGGGCTGAGGTTTCAGGAGGCAGAGCCCTAGCAGGAACAGGGATTCCCCCGAGGCACAGACTGGAGAGGGTGGCACACACAAGCCTGCCTCCCTGTCTGCTGGTCCTGCCTGCTTGCATCCCGGCAGCTCATAGGGTTTTACGATGATGGTTATTTCTGAAGGCACTTGAAATTAATGACGGTTCTAAAATGGCTGGGACAGCAGAGTCATTGCTGAGACCTCTAATTAGCAAGAAAAACGGAGCTGAGGAGCTTGGAGTCAGTGGAAGCTGGGGGAGCAGCAGAAGGCATGGACTAGGGGGTGAAGAGGCGGTGTTCACACTCCAGGCCTTTGGAGCTGGGTGCTCGGATGAGCCTCATATTCCGTTTTATGTCACAAGCTATTACCTTGCTGTGTGACCTTGAAGAGAACTGCCCCTCTCTGGGCCAACGTTCCCTCAGTTATATACCAACGCTTCGGGGCTCTTCATTCCTGCCTAGCCTATGGGGACACTGGGATAAGGCTCTTGAGTTCCCTAGAGGAAAATTCTAGCCTCCTAGAAAGCTGAGTTCCAGCCGGGCAGTGGTGGCGCACACCTTTAATCCCAGTACTTGGAAGGCAGAGGCAGGTGGATTTCTGAGTTCGAGGCCAGCCTGGTCTACAGAGTGAGTTTCAGGACAGCCAGGGCTACACAGAGAAACCCTGTCTCGAAAAACAAACAAACAAACAAACAAAAAAAAAGAAAGAAAAAAGAAAAGAAAGCTGAGTTCCATAATCAGGGGCTTTGTGTACCTGGGAGCAGAGGCCCCAGACTGGCCCATGCTCTGCAGCCTTTTATGCTGGTGTTAGAGAGTCCATAGGATAATGAGCTTCTAGAGATTCAGGCTGGAGTGAAGTGGATTGGGGCCTGGCAGTTAATCCATAGGTCAGAGTCCTGTGCAGTTGTGAGGCAGAAAAGGGAGTGGGGACCCGAGGGAGCCGGATGAGAAGTCCCCACTTGGAATTAGCCCTGTGGCCAGGTTTTGAGCCCTTTTGGTCACAGTGTGGTCTTGAATCCTGCTCACTCAGGGTTGGGGTCACAGTACCATAGCTGGAGCAGAGCAGTCAGCAGTTCTCTGGGGGTGCTAAGCACTGAGGGGGACGATGGGAGGCTCCGAGGCTTTAGCAGAAGTCCTGGCAGGGTTGGGGGGCTGCCTGGCCTGGATATGGTATCCATGGGGGCTGAAAAGTAAGAACCTTGTCTGAAGTCAATCAGGGAGTATCCTGCCCACTCCAAAAGCCCCAAGAAAAGACCCAATGATGTTCCTAACCCCGAGTTACCCGGAATGGGATGAGCCAGAGACGTGCTCTCTCTGTTAGGGATAAAAAGATAAAATTGGGAGGAAAGAAAAAAAAATACAAAGCT